AAAACACCAGCCCTCTGTACCCACTCCCTCGGTTCCTTAGGTGGCAGGGAAAAGCTTTCCCCACTGCAGCCCACACCAGGGACCCTAAAGCCAGCTACAAAAATCAGAAGTAAATCTGACCGAGGAAGTTCATATTGCCTGGGGCAGATGCTAAGCAGGTAAATCCCCACAGGGCCTGACCCTTCAGTCTGGTCTCTGGGGCAGAGGGTGGAAACTGCTAAAATGCCTTGTACTGATTACAATGAAGGGAAACAATGGGAAAGGAAGACATCCCTCCGCAGATAATTTACTCATTATTTGCACTGTTAAAAAAGGATCAGGTATTCAAAATTTAAACACATCTAAATTAAAAGAGAGAGAGGGAGAGCAAAACTCCCAAAAGAATAAACAAGGGGAAGCCTAAGGGCCATAGCACTGAGAAGCAGAACAAACCTCAGCTGAGTCCAGCACTCAGGTCTCTTCCACAGCTCACACTCCTCTGATGGACCCAGCCTGGGTGTGGACCTGACTTCTAGACCCTTGCTAAAGAGAAGCCCTCATAGGAGCACAGCATAGCATCAGTTCCAGCACGGGGGGGGGGGGTCACCAAACAGGCCTTAGGATTGCAAACCTTCCCTCCCCCCACTCACCCCTGGCTTTGGCAGGAGCAGATGTTCAGGGAAGGCCTGGCACCTGTGGCCACATTAATGAGCCCTCACCCTCCCTCAGGCCAGGGCAGCTGTCAGTGATTACCCCAGGAGTCCTGATTTGATCTGAGGCTCCTGCCTTAGCTTCCCCTGTATGTCCCCCTCCCCAAGTTCCCCTCCAGAATAGGAGCAGCTGTCTCCTCAGTGATTAGAGAGCCTCCCTGTGCTGCTTCCCTCCCCCCACCCCAACTAGAGGAACCTCCACCCTAGAGCCAAACTTGCAATTTACATGCCAACCACGTGACTGCCCCAGCCCATGGTAATTAGCTTTTTGTTCCTGCCTGGTTTCTATGGTAACAGCCTCCAGAGTTAATCTTTGCTTCGTCCCCTCCCTTCCAGGACCTGTCTACCCCACCTCCTCCTTTGGGAACTAGCTACACACCATCCCTGAGCTATGTCCAGCATCCATCTGGACAAAGCTCCATCTCAAATATGGAGCTCAAATAATAGTTCAGGAGAAAGAATGAGGCAGCTGACCCCACCCATTCAGACCCAACCCAACTCCAGGTTGGGCTTCTGTACTACGGATCAAGTAGTTCTGTCTTCCACTTGCTGTGTGACCTTGAGTAAGGAACAGCCTCCTAGGACTTGGAAACAGGACAGCTACCTCACTAATCATAGCAGGGATGCATAGTCACTGCACCCACACACCCTGGTCTTTTTTTTTTTTTTTCTTTTCTTTTTTTTTTTTTTGCCTCTGCTCTAACACCTGGAGGTGGGCTGACAATAGAGGGGAAATACAGGCCGTCCTTGCAGTCGGTTTTGTTTTGTGCTCAATCCCGACTAGGAGGCCCTGGGAAGGCAGTTAGAGATGAGAGATTTGCACAGATAGGGAGAGTCAGTTCTGGACCAAGGTCATCGGAGTCCAGGCCCAACCCCTCCAACAAAGGAACAGGGTGGGGCAAGGAAGCTGAGGGTGATCTGAGCAAGGCTGACAATGTGAGTGCGGCCTGACTCCTAGAAGACGTCCAATTCTCCAGTGGGGGTTCGGGCATGTACAGTCATTATGGCTTTAGGGGAGAGCCCCACCCAAAGTTGCCCGACACACCCATCTTACTCAAGGCTTAAGTGGCAGTCTCAAAGAAGGCCACGCCCAGTCGGCGGCCCCAACCATATCCTCTGTACCTGCTGGAACCATGGTGTGTGTGGGTGAGAATGGATGGAAGAGTCAGAAGGGTTGCCCCTGGCTGTCCGCAGCAACCTGGGCGCGGAGCAGAGTGACGCGAGTGAGGGGAGCTGATTGGGGATCCCGGGGTCCCAGGAGCCGGTCAAGGGGCTGGGTTCTTCCCTTTGTTCCGCCGGCAGCTTCCAGAACAGCCTCTCTCTTCCCCACCCCACCCCCAACACCCTGGGGCAGGCGCTCGTGGGGACGCAGGACGCCGGACGGCTCAGCCTCACCTTGGCCCCTATCTGGTTGCCGCACTGGCCGGCCTGGATGTGCACGATCTCCCTCATGCTGACTTCAAACGGCTAGAGTTGAGAAGCAGGCGGACAGCGGGCTGCGGAGGATCGGTGCCTTCTGCCGCGCCCTCTTATAAGGGGCTGCCCCGCCCTCGCTAGCTGATGTCAGCGCTGCGGACCAATGCTGGGGCGCCGCCGCAGAATGCGGCAGGCTCTGCAGCATCAGCACCACGCATCGAGATCCGCCCGCACAATGCGGAGCATGTCTGGCCGCGCCTTCGGAGGAGGGGCCACTGGAGGGCCTTCGGCTCTGGGGACAATAGAGCCCAGGCTCCTCAGTGCCCCACCCCAGAAGCTGCCCTCCCTATGTCGTCCCTGCCCCATCCCCACCCTGCAGCTTTGTGAGAAGGGTCTTTCTTACTCTCATGTGTTTAAGAATCAAGACCCGTATTCTGTGTTTGCTGGGTCCCTCCGGGTGGGGGAGGCTGGGAAAGCTGGAGCCTCCCTGATACCTCTGTACAGACCTGGGAGCACAAGTCAGGAGGGTGGTGGATTATGCCTCCAACTCTGAGGTCACTGTTTTCTGGAGGAGAGAGGGCTACCAACCGATTGCTCCACAAAGGGCTGGCATGAGGGTACAGATATACCTGGAATGCGAGGATGCACAGCACCTGGCAAGCAACCCTGCTTCATGAATATCTGCATGGAAAATTCACATAAGGACATACAAACCATCCAGGGGAAGACATTGAGCAGTGTTTTCTGTCTGAACCATCCCTGATACCTTTGGTGCCCTCCCTTTCACTTTTGGTACAAGTGAGGGTGTGAAGAGGGGGCATGGAGTAAGCTGGAGAAATCTAGGTAAGGAGACTGTGTGTGGAGGGGGCCCATTGGGAGGAAGAGTCAAATAGTCAGAAGAGGACGTGCAATGTGTTCACATACAACACTGATTTAATATTCAGCTAGGGCCAGCAACACCTTATGAGGACCTTTTGATATTTCAATGACAGAAATTCTTCTGAAAGATTGAGACAGTACTACTACACATGGATGGTGCAAAAACATTCATTTCATAAGAGCAGCTAAAAACAATCTACTGGAGCCTTTGTCCAGTTAGCATGGGCATGCTGGGTACAGTGGCTGTGAATGTAACTCTTCTCTAAGGATAAACTTCTGAGTTAGCTGAGTTTAGAAATGAGTCTTTTGTTCTCAAGACATGCCCCTCCCCCACAATGTGTCCATGATGGTGGCTTTCTGTTGTTGGTTTCCATATGGCCTGGTTCAAGAAGTCCTGGGTGAGCATCTGGCATTGTCTCCTTGTCTGGACAGGGAAGATGCTTGGAAGTATCCAGAGGTCTGGTCTGCCTCCCTGTCAGATGACATCAGGCTAGGCCAGCTCCCCACGTCCCCAGAGAATTATGGTGCCAGGATAAAGGCTGACTCATGGTCCTATCTTCCAGCAAAGGCTGGCCCTGCCGGGAACCAGCATCCAATCTCAGTCCAGCAGGGCTGGAGCTGATAGTGTGGCTAAGATCTGGCTTGATGCCACTTCCTGTCTTAAAGGTGGTTGAAGGCATATTAGTCCAGACTGAGGCCACCCCCGGGAAGGAGGACAGGAGAGTGCTTAGCATCCATGGGGGACCCAAGACAGACAGCGGTAGGAATTCCAAGTGGTAGCAGTAGAAAGGCTTGGGAATCTGCCATTCCACAGCAGCAAGAACTGTAGTTCACCCCATGTGCCACTCCCTGGCACTCAGATGCCCTTGAGCTCCTAGGCACCCTCCTCTATCCTGAGACCTAAATACTTCCCAAGGCTGGCAGAGTACTGACATCCCCACCCCCTCCCAGAAGGGCAGTGTTGGGTAGAAATGGATCCCAGCCTCTGGCTTATCTATGCTATAGGCTCCTCAGGGCAGCTCAGTGTAGGATGATTGCACTTTGTGCCATGGCTGAGGTGCTACAGGAATAAGGCCAGGAAAGGGGCAGGTTCTGACCAAGGTTACTGATGGATCATATCAGGGGCTGAGACTCTGTGGTCCTGCTGCAGTGAATGGCTGAACTGGGAGGAGCCTCAACAATCTTGTTAACATAAAGTAAGTGGAGGGTTTTGAACCTGCAGCCCCTTGTTCTGGAGCTTGTAGTAAGACAGAGGAAGCCAAGAGGGCCTGATGAGGATACCCGGTGTGCTTTCAAACTATAGATTCCTAATCCAGGAAGGCAGCTGTGGTTTCTGAGATTCCCTTCTTGCTATCTTGACTACTCTCCCTATCCTTTTTCCACACAAACTTCAAGCAACTTCTGAACAGAGCTAGGGAAGACAGTGATGAGGCTCCATCTGAGCTTGACATTTCAACTGCTTTCTGGCTCATAGCCACAGGCTATGGCTAATAGGCCAACAGCCTCTTCTGAGCCCAGAGGCACTTGCTGAAGTAGCCTGTTGGGGGTGAGCAGTTGGGTCCCCACCTTTTGGGATTCCCATGAGCCATACAACTAATTTTCTGCTGGTTTGTTTTTTGAGACAGGTTTCTCTGTGTAACAGCCCTGGATGTCCTGAAACTCACTTTGTAGATCAGGCTAGCCTCAAAACTCACAAAGAGCCACCTGCCAAGTGGCTGCTGGGACCCCACCTGCTGAATGCGGAGATTAAACGCTACAACTACTCTTTAGAGCAGTCCCACTTCCCCAGTGCAAAGGGGCAGATCCCTTGTGCAAGATGCACATTCTGCAATTCTGGTTCCTTTATTGAGGAAGGGCCTCACTTGCTTAAGCAACCTACTGCATGGTTACGGCTGGATTTTCCTGGCCACGTATTCCCTTTTCAGAAGCCCTCACCAGGAGTAGCACTTCTTCATGGCTCTTGTCATTCTTTCAATTTAGACACTTCCTGTCCATCCCAGAATTAGAGGGCCCAGCCAGTGGGTAGAAGTGAAGCTCTGCGGAGGCTGGGACTGTCTCTTTAGGAGCCTGTGGTCTGACCCTTGCCCAGAGCTAGAATCCCCACCCACTGCCTCTTCCATTTCCCACAGCTACCCTGGATGACCCTTGCAGTCACATTTACCCCTTTTCCTGGTCCCAGGCAGTTTGTTTCTATGTTAAAGTTCATCTAGTTCACCCTTGGACAGATGGAGATCAGGAAGGGATGATACCTGTGGTCTCACAGGATACAGGCCACTGGATATCATTGTCACCCTCTGCCTAGCACCCTGGCCATAAGACCAAAAGCCACCTCCCTGCTCACCATGAGCACAGCAGCATCTCCCTGAGTGTCATGCGGAGTTCCTGGCTGCGAAACGCATAGATGAGGGGGTCAACGGTGGAGCTGAAGATGATGAGAATGAGGAAGAGGTTGAAGTTCTTAAAGACGCAGCTGCAGGTGGAGTGCTGAGGGCAGAGGACGATAAGTGAGAGATGCAGGAAGAAGGGGCCCCAGCACAGGAAGAAAATTCCCAAGAGGATAGTAAGGGTGGCTGCGCCCTTAAGGCAGAAGAAGTCTTTGCGGGCGGAGCGCTGTCTCTTTTGTAGCTGGGCTATCCCCTGAGCATGCTGGCATGCTCGAGTGAGCATGTGGATGTACAGAATTGCCATGAGTGCCAGCATGGCTAGAAAGAATGTGACAAGGCAAATCAGGACAGCTGTGTGATTGTAGTAGGTGATAAAGAGGGTGCTGAAGAAGATACTGGCCACCCAGATGCCCACGATGGCCCGTCGTGCCCGGGGCAATGTCACAATGCTGTGATAACGCAGTGCATAGAAGATGGAGATGTATCGGTCTATGGCAATGACACCAAGGAAGCAAAGGCTGGACACCATGGAGCCACAGATGAGCACGTCAATGACATTGTCCAGTTGTTGCACCAAAGCAGCCCGGGTCACCAGGGCCCCTGCCTCCAGCAGCAAGATGATAGTAGTCTCCAGAACGATGCTTATACTCACCATCAGGTCAGACAGGGCTAGACAACAGATGAAGCAATACATGGGCGAGTGCAGGTTGCGGTTTTTGGTGATGGCTATCACAACCAGCACATTCTCCACCAGACTCACCAGCCCCAGGCTGAGGAAGAGGCCGTCCGGGATAGGTACCTGCAAGCACCAAGGCCCTGTCTGGTTGGTGGCCAGTCCAAGGTGAGGGGTGGCTGTAGAAGTGGAGTTGAGAGAACCCAGAAGCCTCTTCTGGGGCCCCTGAGTGGGCATAGTCTTGTCCAGGAAGTAGGAAGCAGTCAGTGGAGGCTTCAGCTCCAGCTGGTATCAGCCTTCCTGTGTCCTACTCAGCTCATGGTGTCATCATGAGTCTCTGACGGCCCTCACACCTGCTTCTTTCCATCTGGACACTCTCCGATCTTCCTTCACACTTGCCCTCTTTCTGGCTGAACAGATCAGCCTAGGCATGGCACAGGCAGAGTCGAGATGCTTCTTGGCTAAAGCCCTGAGCTCTGCTCACAGAGTCTCACTACCAGTGTGAAACAGCCTAGCTTTCTGCTGCTCTCCCTGACTCTTCCCAGGAAGTGGCTCAGATAGAGACATTTCTAAACTTGGCACCTCCCAACTTCTTGGTCCCCTGCCTCCCCAAGCAAGAGTAAGCTGAGGTCCAGGGAAGAATAGGGCCTTTCTCTGAATCTTTTAACTCGTTCCCAGAGCCCCTCCCCCTGAGGGTGGCCACATGATGGGCATGTGCCCCAGCACCCTGGACTGCCTCTAGGGGGCATAAGCAGTGCTGAGAAACTGGAAAATCTACCTCCAGACTCCAACACAGGGTACTGTGTCTCCCACTGTGTTCAAAGCTTCTGTAGACTTGCCAAATCCCTTTCAGGCATCCAGTTTCACTAGGACCTGCCCTGTGTAGCCCTACCTAAACCTCCAAACCTATCTCACTTTCTTGAGTTGTCCTCAACCTTTTCCCTCCCTCATGCTCCCTGCCTTGGGCAATCACAGGTTGTGAAGTAGGTACCCATCTCCCACCCTCACAACCACTCTCAATTAAAAGCATGCCAAGGGCAGTGACACTTCTGAAACGGAGGATGTGTACACATGTCACCAACTTAGCTACTGAATTCAAGGTAGCTTGGATTTAAGGCTGGACAAAGAGAACTTTTCAGAGTCCGTGGTAACTGTAGGAACTACAGACAGTGCTCAGGTAGACAAGAGCTCTATATACCAATGGGCTCAGATGAGCTCTGGCAGGGCTAATGGCACTCCATGTCCCTCAAGGCTCCAAGCTTGCTAAAGCTTTCTTTAGCTACAGTTCTGGGTGTGGCAGGAAGCGTGTCACTTCCTGGGAGCTGACTGGCTAGAGGGGATCCTGAGGCCATCCACCAGCATTCTTTAGTCACATCGTCTCTCATGCTCATGGATCCCTCCTCTCCCAACGGCACAACACTTCCCTTGAGAAACCCCATTTCCGCTGTGGAGCACATGCCAGCCCTGGAGCCAGGAACCACATCAGGGCAGATCTCTGTCTCCAGTTTCTGTGGGCCAGCAGCTGGGCATGTGACTATTCATAGTGGTCAGGACAGCAAGCAGGGATGCTCTCAACCCACCTCTAGCTGCTGCTGGACTTTCTCCATGGAACCTAGTACCTTCAAGAAAATAAGGTGAAAGCCAGCAGTGGAGTTGGAGGCAGGAATAAGCTGGAGTGTGCCTTCAGTGTTTGTGATACTAGTGTTAAAAGTTCACTCTTGTTTTTTAAGACAGGACCTCACTATTATGTAACCCTGGCTGGCTTAGAATTTACTTGGTAGAGCAGGCTGGCCCCAAACAGATGTGCCCACCTCTGCTGTCAGTGTGTTGGTATTAAAGGTGTGTGCTACCACTCCCAGCTGAGTCGGTTCTTTCTCTCGCCTACTCTGGCAACCTCCAAGGTGCCCATGCCTTTCACAGCCACTGTGAAAGCACACATGAACTATGTGAGCATCCACTAGCAAATGTTACTCATTTCTTACATCTGCATTTTGTACTTACCTTTTTGTTTTCACTTAATCCTGCAGTAAATGACAAATATAAGTGTCACACTCCAAAGTGAGCATGGTCAGGACTACTTTCCCACATCAATAAATAAAATACAACTTACACCTCTTATGTTGGGCCTTCCTGGGCCTCAGCTCTATCAATTTTGTCTATCTTGGAACATTACATGAAATGGAATTTTGCAGTTTATATTCTTTGTTCACATTAAGTCACCTTGTTATCTGGGTAACTAAAGCATTCAGGTTGTCTAGTGTCCATTATGTGAAGTGACTCATGCTGGACATTTGGCAGCTTGTGGCCAATCTTACCCTGATCAGTGCTTTTGGTAGGCATGTGCTTATTGCTGATACCTACCAATGAAACACTGCAGGCATGAGGTCTATCTTCAGCTTTAGTGGACCTGGTCAAAGCACTTTCTAACAGGTGGACCTGTTTCACAATCTATGCTCACACCCTCAGGTGTACTGTGTTACGGGTATACAGGATGAGAAGGTGAGTCTGGGTGTCCTGAATGTTCCAAGCCACATTTATCCCAGCTGTCTGCCTCCTACAACAGGGGCCTCATTCTGCTTGTAGTCGAGAAGGGTCCCAGGTTTGATGGGGTGGGCAGGGCTGTGGCTGTGGAGTCATGAAGGTCTATGCCATGGCTGGCCCCTAAAGCCACATGATGCCCAGGCACCTTGTAGCTGCAGGCCACTTTTCACTTCTGGGACATGAAAGAGCAAGTGCCCCCAGCCCTAACTTCCTTGGTATTTCTGGCTTCAGAATGAAGTCTTTGAGACAACCACAGTTCACCCTGCAGACAGTCTGACTTCAAAGGGTGGGTAAACAGAACAGCCTCTGGCACAGGCAGCCACATCCTCTCTGGCAAGCTCCTGCTGAGGGGTGTTGAGAGGAAGGTGGTCATGCCTTGGGATTCTTTGAATCACAAAGCCATAACTAGCTTTTCCAGAGAAGAAGGCAGAGCTGGGAAAGCCTGTCGTGCCATGCTGTGGTGGGGAGATGGCAAAATTAGTCTTGGGATTGCCTGGATTGGATGAAGATGAGTACCCCAAGCCTGATCATACTTCAGGTTTGATTTCTCAGTGGCTCTGGGAGAAGTATACGATATATGGCACATAGGAATGACAATGTACTTAGGGGACACTACCTGCAGAATGGCTAAGGGTGTTCTCTCCATGATGTAAAGAGCAGCCTGCATTCCAACAGGCAGACCCACAGGGGAGAGGTTCAGTGCTTCCCTTAGGAGATGCCCAAACCCCCTGGGCAGTGTGAACATGACCTTTCTAGCTCTGGTCACAGAGGACAGCACAGCTTCTCAAGAAGCTCATGCCTGGGGCTGAAGAGATGGCTAGGCAGTTAAGAGCACTGGCTGCTCTTCTAGAAGACCCAGGTTTGATTTCCAGCACCCACATGATGACTAAGAATTGTTTTTGATAGCCAGGCAGTGGTGGTACATGACTTTAATCCCAACACTTGGAAGGCAGAGGCAGATGGATCTCTGAACTTGAGACCACCCTGGTCTATGAGTTCCAGTACAGCCAGAGCTATACAGAGAAACCCTTTCTAACCCATCCTGCCCTGCCCTGCCCTCCCAAAAAAGAGAGTTGTTTGTGACTCCAGTCCCAGGGGATCCAACATACTTTTCTGTACACTCTTTTCTGGTTTCTGTAGGCATTACATGTACATGGCACGCAGACGCACATTCAGGCAAAACACCCACACACACAATAAAACAAAAGTTAAAAAGGCTATGTAACCATGTCTTCGTTTGAAAGTCATTCATTTCCTCTGAACTTTCTGTGGGAGACAGCAAACAGGTTTTCTCCCTGACTACATGAAAATGCACAAATAACCAATAATTCTGCACAGGAGCACACGGGCAGGCACCTCTTGCTGAGACTGGGTCCAGGGAGGAGTGGGATGGGATACACTATCACCCCCACCTGGGTGGCAGGGCAGACTTTAAAGCTGTTTAGATGACATGCAGATTAGGTGTGGTGGTACACGCTTTTAACTCTAACATTTGGGAGGCTGAGGCAGGCGGATCTCTGAGGCCAGCCTGATCTACATAGCAAGTTCTAGGCCATCAAGGGCTATACATTGAGACCCTGTCTCAAAAAGTTACTTTTCCTGATGATCCGCAGATGACGTGAATGACTGGGTTTTATTTATCACCATTAGAAATGGATTCAGCTGAAAATTACTTAAGTCTGAGCAACACTTCTGAAGCCGATCATTTAATGGCCTCTCGGGATACAGGCCTGGAGGTGGGAAGTTTCCTGAAGGCCTAGGGCATCCTCTGCTTCACTGTTCCTAGTACACTGGTTCTTCATTTTGGAGTTCATTGCCTCGTGGTTGTAGAATAGCTGCTGCAGCTCCAGATGTCATATCCTCATCTGGATGGACTTACAGCTGCTGAAAGGAAGAGGCAGGATGCCAGGTTTTCTGTACTTGTTTGTCATCTCCAGAAAACAAACCCACTCCCTCCTCCCCTCAGCTGAAACTCACCACAGGCCACTCCAACTTGGATTCAGACACTGAATTAGGACCATCTCAATAGTACCCCTCCCTGGGACTGGGTGTAGATCTCCCACCAAACCCAGGAGTAGGTGAGGCAACTGGTGTGGGGCTATGCCCCTCAGGCCTGCCCTCCCCAGGCCCCTGCTGGCCCATGAGCACAAGTAGTAGAACCTGTATCCAGACTTCATGGCCTTGCCAATTCATGCTGGAGAAAAAACAGAGACGCAGCACCAATCCATATGACATGTGACCTCTCACCAGCCACATGTCGGTTGAACACAGAACCGGCCCCTGCAAATAGCTAACTTAGAAATGGGCTGTGACATTTAGGGTGACTACAGATGAATACAAGTCAGCCCTGTTGAGCGTCGGACAGTGACCTGAGCCCCTGCTCAGCCACATCATGTTTATGTTGTATGCTGGGACTAGAATTATGAGTGGTTGTGAGCTATTTGGCATGGGTGCTTAAAATCAAACCCTGATTCTCTGCAAAAGCACAAAGCACAGTAAGTACTTTTAACCACCAAGCTGGTTCATTTATTTGGTGTGTTTGTATAGGTGTCCACATGCCATCGTGTATGTGTGGAGGTCAGAGGACAACCTATAGGAGTTTGCTCTCAGGAGTTAGTGCTCTTCATCCACCATATGGATCCTGAGGATTGAACACAGATTATCAGGCTTGGCAGCAAGTACTTTTACTAACTGAGCCATTTAGATGGCCCTCAGGACATTCCTGAAGCATGCTTTATCTGTACCTAGTCCATACCAGATGCATCCAGTGATGTCTGAAACAACATCTGAACTCCCAGGAAGCGATTGATGGACCTAGAATTAGGAGAGACCCCACTGGCCATCTCTCACACTACAGGCCATGGTAGGACCTCCCCCAGGTTTTTATACATGCAGAAATGGGCAGGGCTGCCCAGAGACACCTGACACAGCTTATAACATCTCAGTAGTCTGGATCTTTCCACAACCAGCTTGAGACATGGGCCTCTGGCCTTGCCTGGTTGTGGCCTCTGTTCCTGCCACTGGACTGGGGTTCTTGATCAGAGCTCCCCACTCATTCCTAGATCAAAGCATCCCTGACCTGTCTGGGAAAATTCACTGCCTCAAAGTTGCTTCTTAGAGTCTCCTTCAATTCCAGGCACCTCATGCCCCAACCCCCTCTTTTGAGAGGGGGGGTCACATGTAACTAAGGCTGGCTTTGAACGTATTATGTAGCAGAGGATGACCTTAAACTTCAGTTCCTCTTGTCTCTCTCTCTACCTCTTGAGTACTGAGAATACAGATGAACACTAACCACACCTGGTTTGTGTTGTGCTGGGGATCGAATCCTGAGCTTTGTGCAAGCTAAACAAGCAGTCTATCAACTGC